CCGCTCGCGTTGTGGGAAGCAGGTCCTCGATATCCCCTTCCCGGCTTGCAGGGAACGAAGCCTCCGGGGCAGGCGGGTTGGCGCTCCCTCGCGCTCCGGCCCCGGGGAAGCGCAGCCGCAACCCACTCCCGGCCCTCCGCTCCCGCCGCAGCGCCCCGCCCTCGCCGTCCCCGGAAGCCTCGGCCTGCGCGCGAGAGAGCGCTCATTCCTAGAGAGGCAACGCGCCGGGCCGCCCTCTCTCCTCCCTCGCCTACCGCCCCCTTTAAAAGATGGATTCCGCCTTGCTTCCTGGGGGGTCTTTCAAGGGATTTGAGGAGGGAATTCTCAGCAGCCTTGGGAGGGCATCCCGGACCTAGGACCCTGGTCGGGCTGCCCAATCTTCTTGTCTTTGACACATGGGATACATGGGAAAAGATTGTTCTCTTGCACTCAGACTGTTCCCATAATAATCAGGAAACCACCTCAAAGCAACCATGAAATCAAAGCCTAATTTAGCGCCTTGAGGGAACCAGTAGAAACCACAGCAGGCGCCTTTTGGCAGCCACGGAATTGAAGGCCGACTCTAAAACCTGCCTCAAACGGGGAGGCCGACAAAACCGGAGCCTCTCCTGCCTTCTCCCGCTGTATCCCAGACCTACTCGAAGGGTATCCGCAGCCCACCTTCCCCTAAGCTCTCCCAGCAGAGGTAGATGTTACATGTCATTGCCCCATACATAAGCTTTTTCCAGGACTTCCACATACGATGACCATTGTGCTAATCAAATATATTTTCAGCTTCATAAAGACTAAAAATTGAGTACAACTCTATAGTAATAGTGTATGGAATATGTTAGCCGTGATACTTTAGGTCAGCTGGTTATTCAAGACTTCTTAGTTATCCACCTTTTTTTTTTTATCACACATACTGTTTTTCCCTTTCTTTTTCCCTATGTGTTCTATATTCTTTTATAACTCTTCGTATCAACCTTATTTTCCTTTTTTCTTCAATATATAGAGAAATAAATGAACACTAAACTTTGATTATTTAACTTGAGTAGTTATGTATCAAATTTCAGTGGCAAAAGAGATAAATACAAGGAACTGCTCAAAGCGTAGTCATGGACTAAAAAGCATCTTCAATAGGGAAACCTACATGAGAAGACATCAGGCGGAGGGGAGATGTTAAATGCTGCTTTCTTCTGCCCTCTGCCCCAACAGCTTTCCCCTACTCCCACAGAACTAAAGCTTCTTCCCCAAATAAGGAGTTCTGGGGACTCTTCTTTTGGTCCCTCAGTCAGGAAGGTCCTGCTTGCATCAAGGATGCTGCTGCCTTGTACAGGGAAGCAACCTTCATCTTCTAAATGCCGATGGTGTCACAGTTCCTGAAGCTCCAGGATCACAAAAAGTCGGGGAGCAGAGGAGCCTCCAAAGCCAGACCAAGCAAAGTCAAACCACAACTTGGCACCAGCCACCGACCTGAGATGGTGACAGTGTGGCTTTGACTGGATGGGAAACAATGGCAAACAAACCCCGTCGTTTAATGAGTTATGGACAAGCAGAGAGTCAGCAGCATTCCTTCTGAGTAACGTGGTCACTGCATTTCTTTGGATGGTCTCATGCTCCGAGGAGTACTTCACGTAACCATTGGATTTGAAGCGGCCCTTCCTGGTCCAATTCAGTTTGCTAAGTTCAGGGCAATCCCTCGTCACTTTGTGCGTTCAAGTTTCTAAGGTTCAATCTTTTCACATTTTATGTTCCACCTTTAAATGTCTTCAGATATTGAGGAAAAAACAACACTAATTTGAAGCAACTGACCTCTCTCTAGAGATACATAATAAAAAAAAAGAGGGAATGTATCTACTGTTTTAGCAACAAAAGATATAGCATGAGAAAGTAGTGTGCTCCTTACAAAGAAAAATCTCAAATACTTTATTCTTAAAGGACAAGCAGTGTAAAACGTTGCATAAAAAGTGGATTTTTGGAGAGGAAGAAGTGTATTCCTGTTTTTATTAAGGGGGGGGGTTGGCAGAGGTAGTTGTTCAGTGATTGACAGTTGCACCACTATCATAACAACATTTTTGTACCATTAGACCAGATTCGGACACGCTTATTCTACATTGCAGGACAATCTGGGACAATCCTTTCCTTTCTTCTATGGGACACTAATTAAATGCTTCAACAGGGATATTATATCCCTTTTGGTTGACTTTTTTACAAGGCTACAGATTCCCACCTGCTTCAATCTGTTTTCCTGGGACTTAACTTGAGCTCTCTTATAACCCTCGTTGGCCTCCGATACAACAGTCTGAGTTTCAATCTCTTACATCGCGAAAAATACTCAAGGTTGGTCTAACAACGTGGGGAGGGACTCCCTTCCTGAAGATTTGAGCAGAAAAAACAAAACAAAACCTTTCCACGTTCCACTCATTTATAGAGTTTCTCTCCTGAGTGGAACTTTTATGATATTTAAGAAGACATATCCTCTTAAAATAGTTTCTTTGCTCCATTTCTTAATACACTGTTTCTCCTCTTTCTACACTCTGAAAGTTTAATGTTCAAGAAGCTTATCCAAACACACCTATTTATGTGTTTTCTTGGGAAAAAAAGGCCCAGTGCTGGCATTGGAAGTTTCTCTGCACTCATAGGACCTCCTATGGGAAATAAGGGCAGTGGTCCTTTTGAACCTATTTCCACACGTCAAGCATTATTATGGTTCTCCCATGTGGATTAATTTAGGTCTGATAAGACTATTCTTCCAACCGAATGTTATTTCACAGTTCACATTTTTCTGGTGTTTTTCACATGTGGGTCTCTTTATGAGAAGAAAACACTTGTGATTAAAGCTCCCAAGCTATGGTTTTTCTCTTGTGTGGATTCTTTGATGTTGCGAAAGGTGATTTTTCTGACTGAAGCTCTTTCCACACTCTGTGCATTTGTATGGTTTTTCTCCTGTGTGGATCCTTTTATGGCAAATAAAATAACTGCTGCAATTGAAGCTCTTTCCACATTCCAAACACTTATATGGTTTCTCCCCTGTATGAATCCTTCTGTGATATGTAAGATCTGAGCGTACACTAAAGTTCTTTCCACAATCCAAGCATTGATATGGTTTCTCCCCTGTGTGAATTCTTTTATGTTTCATAAGGTGACAGTTTCGCCTGAAGTTCTTCCCACACTCCAGGCATTTGTATGGTTTTTCTCCTGTGTGGATCCTTCTATGGCAAATAAAGGTAGTTCTCTGACGGAAGCACTTTCCACACTCTGTACATTTATATGGTTTCTCCCCTGTATGGATTCTTACATGCATCACAAGGCTTGATCTTCCACTGAACTTCCTTCCACACTTCAAGCATGTATATGGTTTCTCCCCAGTGTGGGTTCTTTTATGTCTTGTAAGGTGACCACTCTGACTGAATCTCCTTCCACACACCAGGCATATATATGGTTTCTGTCCTGTGTGCTTTCGTTTATGAGATGTAAGACGACTTCTCCTACTGAATCGTTTTCCACA